GTGGTGTATTTGCGAGAGATGGTTTCGGAGAACGACATGTGAGAATTAGACCATGGCAAGTTTGGGTATCCTTAGAGGAAACGTTTCGCCACACATGTGGCTTCACAGTCCATACTAGAGAAATTTCTGAACAATGAATCTCCCTCCTGTTCTTCACAGTGCTCACCATGTGATGGAAGTTAGTGGCCTGAAGCAACAGCTGGTGCGGAAAACGATTTCCTCCAATTCAGGGATACCCAAAGTTAAACATCGTCTAGTTTATCAACATTGTGGTGTATACACCTATTCTCATAAGACACTCTTGCAGTTGATAAGCTTTTAAGCTAATAAGCCAACCATGAAGGACGACGAGAGTACTCGCTTGGCTGCTGCATAGCTAAATATCTCCATTATTTATATATACACTCCTCGGGGGAAAACATAAAAACTACCACCTTGAGACGCCACGCAAGGCCACAGGACGTTACAATTGGAAACTCTGTTCACTCAATGGTCAGTATTTTAATGTTCACTCAGAGGTCAGTATTTTAATGTTCACTCAGAGGTCAGTATTTTAATGTTCACTCAGAGGTCAGTATTTTAATGTTCACTCAGAGGTCAGTATTTTAATGTTCACTCAGAGGTCAGTATTTTAATGTTCACTCAGAGGTCAGTATTTTAATGTTCACTCAGAGGTCAGTATTTCAATGTTCACTCAGAGGTCAGTATTTCAATGTTCACTCAGAGGTCAGTATTTTAATGTTCACTCAGAGGTCAGTATTTTAATGTTCACTCAGAGGTCAGTATTTTAATGTTCACTCAGAGGTCAGTATTTAATGTTCACTCAGAGGTCAGTATTTTAATGTTCACTCAGAGGTCAGTATTTTAATGTTCACTCAGAGGTCAGTATTTTAAGTTCACTCAGAGGTCAGTATTTTCAACGTTCACTCAGAGGTCAGTATTTTAACGTTCACTCAGAGGTCAGTATTTTAATGTTCACTCAGAGGTCAGTATTTTAACGTTCACTCAGAGGTCAGTATTTTAATGTTCACTCAGAGGTCAGTATTTCAATGTAACAGCTAAACCGAATGAATTTTACTTCACTCAATCATATTTAAGTACGAGCTTCAGTTTTTAATATACTCGATATTACTTTAATTCATGGGTCATATTGTAAACTACCGCTATTTCTTCCATCAAAGCCCAGTATTTTAATGTTCCTCAATCATATTTCATGTAACAGCTAAAGAATGAGACTCTTACTCATATTTAACAAGTACTTTTTTACTACATTATGGTAATAGGGGAACTACTCATGCCAAAGAGGCTTGTTTCATACTAAGGCGCTAAGCCCAGAGAACTACGAACTCAAGTTTACTTATCCCTGGCTTAGAGTTGTGAACGTACGCTAGCAATGAATCAAGTTTTTAAACCGTTAAACCGTTATGTTCTGGTAGCTGGTAGAAACCAAGTGACCCGTTGTCAAACCTGAGTACAACTACATTTTTCCGCCGTCATAGACAGCAATCATTAGTTTTAGGGGCTTGAATGTTCAAGAAATTTAACATTTAGCCACAGTTCAGGTAACTGTTCATGTTAGGATACAGTTGGTGTAATTTGTTGGAAGGCAAGAAAAAATTGTGGTGATCCTCATTATTCAGCACGCACTACCACACTGTGTTTTGATCTTTCTCTGTCTCTTGAATGACGTTGAAAAGAACTTCAAAGGTTATCCATAAAGAAGGAAACCCCATAGCAATGTGGAAATGTCAAAAAGGACACTAAAATAGTTTAAAATAGTTTCTGTGCATTTACTATTACGTACCCACCAATTTGTGTCAGCGGGATTAAATCTGGTTCCTGGCTCAGTCTCCGTCTGTTAACCTCATGGACCAGATTTCCTGCTTTATGTAATAAAAATTACTTCATGAAGCCGTGTATTTTTTTTATTCACCAAAGTGCTTTTACTGACATTTTGTTATCTTATAGCAAGTTAAATATGCTAACCTAATATATGCACCATTGTTTTTGTTTTTAATATAATTATGAAGTGACTTATACGACTTCTGTATCATGTATACATTATGTAACATGTATGATATGAAAGGACATGTTGCTTATCTTATAAGATCATATTACTATATTTCAATATCACTGTGGAGTCAATATTATGCTTGGTAGCACTGTTGGGTCAGTATACCTGAAGGATGTTCCGGGGGTCACCGCCCCCGCGGCCGTTCCATGACCAGGCCTCGCGGTGGATCAGGGAGTGATCGACCAGGCTGTTACTGGTGTTTCCTGACGAAGAAAATTCCACCTTATAGAGTGGTATCTTTGCATTAGTTACAACTGAATTACAACACTTGCAGCAGGTCTGGGGTATGTTACACATGGGCTCCACCACCCCGAATCACAACATGGATGCTGCCATAACCCTCTTGCTGTATGGACAATAAAACTCGTATAAAATCATTTTAAGATCAATGCTATATTTAATAGGTGGAAGCGTAACCATATAACCCTCTTGGTTGGTATAATTGGAATAACAGATCAATTCCTATCAAAGAAAATAAAGGTTCTGAGGGGGAGCATCCACGAAGAAGTGGTTATAAGCAAATTACGATACTGTAACTAGCCAAGAACTGGCCAGTCAGTTATATGTAGTGTTATATGTACACCGTCAACTCGGATTAAATCGTCATGAATAACTGTCAGTGTATAAAGTGAAGGATGATTGAAAAAGGTGAAGATGAGACTGAAAACTTGTAAAAAAAAAAAAAATAAGTTTCAGTTATAATGCTTACGTTTTCTGTGAAGAGCTCGCAAACGGTTTTCTTTGTGTATGTGGTAGACTGGTGTATTCTGCTACTGTTGGATGAAGCGTAGAAGCCCATAAGGGGATGCTATTGCTGTTTCAAATTGAGACTAATAAATGCAACTAGACATGTTACAGAATTAGGGATATTCTTGTGGCGAGTGTTACAGCGTCATCCTGCACTACAAGTGAGCCTCGTTGCCCACAATGGTACCTACAGGGAGGACTACTAATATTCTCCAAGGACCCCAATGGAAATAAGTCACTTTGTCTGACTTTCTTGGGTAATCTTAGGAAATCTTCACATATGCTGCTTATGAAATTAGTAATGTAGATTAAATTTAATGATATAAATTGTACTGCTATCACTGTCACTTGTGGATATATTTCTTAAAGATGTAAATATAAAGATTGTCTTGCAATTCTTAACGTGAGGGTCATGGTTGGATTAATAATTATGTTTCTTTCCATGGCTATACCCATCAGTAAAATACTGGGTGTTATATGTTTCGCATCGGGAACATGTACCTAAGGATGGTCACAGACCGGGCGCTGACAACAATCTCTCAGTAGTGGTGTTAAACACACCTGTGTGCTGTGATGGGTGTCTTATGACCCACTCTACAGCTGTACACTGACATAACAGAATATGCCTAAAGAGTATTCCAAAGCAATAAACCAACAATAAACACTACTTAATGTTTGGTATGGTATGTGTGTAGAGGTGGGGCAACCTGCTGCCTGTATCTGACCTTGGATCATCTGTAGTACAGTGTTCCCTTAAGATCATAACTGTTAATCACAGTTCCTAGGATACTCCTATATAGACTGTCTCTAGATGTACTTTACAGTATTATTACGATGGCAAATATGCTGTTATCTCTAAAGAGAGAGGAACGACATGATCTGCATCTGTCACGTAATACTAAATTAACTTCTGCGATCTAAGAGGGTGGATGGTCCAGCTGACACATCCTATAAAAAAATGGCCACAAATATATTGTTTGAGTGGCATGAATCCTATTGTTTAAAAGATTTTATGGATGCAAAATATATATTATATTCTTGCTACTTTCTACCGCTTATCCATTCGTTTTGTCGTTCATCTGATATTCTGATACTTCAAAGTCCCATCTGTAGAAACGTCTACTCTCAAGCACCTACATACATTCACCGCCTCCATACTTAAAGTATTCCAAGTGAAAAGTGTCATACATTTAACTAAAAACAAATCAGGTTATATTTGGAAATAAACCAGAGTGCTTTCTGTTATTATTCTGGGTCACTATCCCTTCTTATACTTTGAGGCTTTACAAATAAGTTTATTAGTTTATATATTTACATACGTATTTGTGATACTATATACATCAACCAAGCTATTACTATCTACAGGACGTAGACTCACGTAGCATTCACAACGTGGCTGATTAGACACTTCCTGTTTTATTTTGTGTACTTTCCTCTTGCTATGTACTGTATTTTCCAGCATATAAGGCGCGCCTTTTTTCCGACAAAAAGTCTTGGAATCACCTTGCGCCTTGTATGGTCAGGATCAAGGGTTAAGGGTAGGCTTTGGATTACGCTTTAGCATTAAGTAAGAGGGGTAATTAACCCTGACTTGTCGTTATAATACTTGTATCGTGCGTCTCATATGCTGGAAAAAACGGTACCAGCAATACTGCTTTTCTTAGATCTGCTGGTCGTGGAACACAGATGTTAACAAAGTTCTTTGAGTGCTTACGATAAATCTGATTTTCACTGGGTTTACTTTGCACTTCATTCCGTATCTCTTGCTCAATATATTTTTAGTGCGCAGATTATCCCTAAGTATTTTCCATTATATATGAAATGTATCGTTTTTCCCCTCTAGTTTAAGTATATTCTACACTTGGCACGTTCTACTTAGCTATGTTAGTGATCAGTTTCTTAGCATTTTATCTACCCGGATGTTGTTGTTGTCTGCCTTGAGAGATGTGAAGGTAGATGAGTGTGGTAGATAGAACAAAAGTGCTTAATTAAGAGAACCTCAAGAACAAAAAGGCACATTCCCGTGACTGGAACAATACACAAATAACCCGCACATAGAAGGGAGAAAAGCTTTCGACGACGTTTCGGTCCGACGAATGCTTACAATAGTTTTCTGTTATATGACTAAGATTCTTATTGATTTTCCGCTTATTACATTGTGTTCATTATTTTCTTGCAGTGAGACTGGGCTTGCTGATCGCGAGGATGTTGATCGTGGTGTGGGCGTGGGTGAGGAGGGCGTGGGCGTGGCACGCCCCTTGGCCCCGCCCCCAGCACCACCTTCCACCTCGTCATCGTCCGCCTCGTCAGGAGAGAGTGACGTGGGTGCCTCTCCTTCCCCAGATCACCAGGTAAGGCACCACTAGTCTTCTCTCACTAGTCTGGAAGAGGGAATCGGAAGTAAGAAGAGCCATTGTTTATTTGTTCTCTGTAATGTATATGAAGACATAATATGCAGAGTTTTACGACTCACTCGCCATGAGTTTAATCCCACCACTTCCGTGGTGGGATTAAAAAAGGCATAATACAGTGACTTGAACAAGACAGAAATAGCCCGCACATAGGAGAGAGGCTCCTACGACGACGTTAGTCCGGCTTGAACCATTTACAGTCACACTAACAGAAAAGAGTGAAGGAGCCAGTATTATATATATATATATATATATATATATATATATATATATATATATATATATATATATATATATATGACATACATACATCTACTATAATACTATACCGAACCTCACTCTGTAGTGCTCTTTTAATGGTCCAAGTCGTCGTAAGCCTCGCTCTCTCGCTCTCTAGCTCTCTTGCTCTTTCTCGCTCTCATTCGCTCTCCTATGTACGGTATATTTGTTGTTCAATAAATAAAGGTGCATATGCACAGTTCAAGATATTGAGGAAACGTTTCGCCCCAAGTATCTTCTTCGCTCTTAATGGAACTTAGGGCTAAAGAAGCCACTCGTGGCGAAAGTTTTCTTGAAAGGTTTTGAACTGCGCACGTGTATCGTAATGTACATACTGTCAGTAGCACCATACCTGTTCTCCAGAGCAACTTTTTATTCTGCATATTGTCTTCGTACCCACAGCTGTGGATATTAAGCCTCTACATCATAACTCTTACCACTGTTGCTCTTCGTGTTTCCAATTCTCTCTCTCTGTCTTAAAAGAGTCTCACTGTACGGGTAGTGGTAGTTGTGTATGGTGGCGGCGGCTCGGTACACTCCCTCGAACACCTGAAGAAAACTAAGAACTGTCATAGGTAAGTTAAGAGAACGTCGGGGCTTGTGGCTTACTTGGGTTTTGCTATACAAACTAAATTATTAAATGTTTTCTTATTCTTCAATCTGCATAACTGATTCTGGTCGAAGTTGGCCAAAATATTGTCAGAATTTATGGGATGGGACGAGTCATTACACCACTTTTCAGTTATGAGAAAATTGTGTATAGTGGCGACTGGGTAGGGAGGAAGGTGAAGGTGGGTATCCGTCCTTGCTGTTGAGGAATGGACGGGACTTGAGTATGTGACATCTCGGATGAAAGGACATATTTTTATTGGACACGTTTCGGTCTTGGGATCTTAGCCATTTTACATGTACCGGAACAAAGCAGAGGTGATCTACAGAGAATGCAATATCGGCAGATGCCACTGTATTGAAACATTCTTAATTGCTACTTGCAGCACCATAAAACAAAGAGCTGGGAAATACACCATCTTATCTACCCTTGCACAAATGAAAATACTCCACGGTGATGTCCTGTTGTTTCCAGTGTCTTCCTGTTGAAGGGATCTTCCTTAGCGTGCATTATCTCAGCTTATTTCAGCGCTCAATTTTGTGGGCACGAGGTTATACATGGTGAAAGATGGCGGTGCTTTCCTGTGCGTATCTAGCTGATCGTTTATATTCACTTACTCAAGGTATGAAACCACTTTTTTTCATGCTTCCAGGGGATTACCTAGGTTTTGGTTAAGATATTTTCATCCAGGGAGTTGCAACGCCCCTCTTTCATGGATCAGATCTCTTTACCTCCCATTATTAACGCGCTCTATGACCACTGCGTGATTACTGCTTCCTCAAGAATTTAATAATAATAATAATAATAATAATAATAATAATAATAATAAATATATTGCGACTGCTTCGAGGCAAGCACTAGACAAACCTGTCTCAGGGTTGAACTGCGGAATAGGAAAACTCTCGATACTCATCAAAGGTTTATCAAAGGGAATGGTAAGGTATCTTCTGCCATGGAATCCTGGCCAGGGTTGACCTTAGGTGATTTTTACCAGACGAGTGTAAGCTACGATCTTGGATAGGTGGATAGCGTGGTGAAGGTAGGGTCACTCCAGCAAGATACACACCAGACTAGGCCGGTGATGCAAGAAGGCACTTGAGGGCAGTGAGTAGGTAGTAATGGGTGAAGGTGGTCAGCAGGTGGAGTGTACTGTGGTGGTAGTGAGTGTGAGGGTAGTCAACAGGTGGAGTGTACTGTGGTAGGAGTGGAGTTCACCTCTATACATAAATTATAACGAAACCTGTATGAGGCTTTGGTGGGATCACAGGAGTCGATTAGTGTGGTGCGCGCACGCACTTGCCACCCCACACTTATCACTCCACACTTGTCGCTTCAACCTAAGAGCACTTGAAGAAAATATTACCGGAGGGGAGGGGGGGAATATATGATTGACTTAATGACATGGTATGACATAATTATGACTGTCTACGGGTAGACAGATATATTTTGTTGAGAGGAAATTTAAAGACACATTAAGCAGCAAGAATTCTTTACAAAGTTTGACCCTCAGTGGAGCCGTGACTTGGTAAAGCTCCACTGTGGATGAAAGATTGTTAAATAATGGCTGTCCCCCTGCTTAAAGTGCCTGAGTGGTGAGTGGAACGAACTATGTGGTGGTGGAGGCAAATATCATTCACAGCTTCAGGAGTAGGTATGATAGGCCCTGAGATCAGGACTCGGTGCAGCCGGTCGATAGTACTGTTACGTGGCTGAGCTAAGAATGGAATACTGCTAAGGTAACTAGGTGATTACATGCTCCACACACAACAGGTAGTTAGTACTACGGTCATTAGAAATAATAATGTATATGCTAAATTAGATATTGACCATGCTCACACAACCCACATACTTTAACTTTGATATACGCTTGATGAGTTTCCAGAGTTATTCTACTTCGTGGAACTCGGCATGGACCAGGCTTGTCTGGTGCTTGAATAGTCAACACTCCTCCCCCTTCCTCTCTCTCCCCCTCCCCCCTCCCCCCTCTCTCTGAATCTCTCACTCTCCACACAAAAACCAACACCCCCACGAGCCTCGGTGAACCGTCTGTAACTAGCTGTATCTTGTAAGGTTTGCACCATGTTATCGACTCCAACACCAACTCACCACCGCTCCTACAAACAATTTATTTAATGATTGTTTGCGTTGTCCGGAAGTGATGGTATTCCTCAGCACTGCACTGACCCCCCAGGAGGTAGCACAGGTGAGCTACATCAATAAATCATGAGTAACATTGACTTCCCTTTAGGGTAATGTTACCACAGTCCCCCTTCTAACTACCTTTCCCTTCGTTTCCCACGACTCCATAAACTGAATTTGCAAAAAAAAAAAAAAAAAAAAAATGTATTATGTGGGTAATTTTTAAGTATGACGTATGTTATTAATTCATTGTAGGCAGCGTAAATACTAAAAAGAAAGATAATCTTTCAATACTTTAAGTGAGTTGTGCAGATGTTAGTGTCGTTCACAGGTGCAGTGGAATAACTGTAGGTAAATGGTTCAGAGAACCATTAAGTTGATTAGACACATGTGCAACACTTGGGTATCTTTATTGAGGAAACGTTTCGCCACACAGTGGTTTCATTAGTCCAGTACAAAGAAGAATGGTGAAGATGAGGAGTTTGAGGTAATTAGTCCCTCAGCCTGGAGTCTATGTAATTGATTCCAGGCTGAGGGACTGATTACCTCAAACCCCTTCTGATCTTTACCATTTTTTTGTATTGGACTGATGAAGCCACTGTGTGGCGAAACGTTTCCACAATAGAGATACCCAAAGTGTTGCACATGTGTCCTAATTTATCAGTGGAATAACTGCCTGCATTTTAATGTCAACTTTTTGTATAGTGGCCTAACTTCCTCTGCTGCCGCTAGGCCTTTTCTCACAGTTTCATATATTTTCACTGCTGTATGTAGAAAAATATCTTAAGGGGTAAAAATGATGTGGTAACGCCACTAACTTAGTTACGTTTGGCTTGATAGCAATGGTGGAAGTGGCACTACTTCCGTCTGCACCTTCATTCATTGGATGCTACGCGCTTGCTCCTATGAATGAATGTCCACACTGCCAGACGTATGAATGCTTCTCAAATTTCCCGTTCTTTAACTACTTTTTTATTACATAATGATCACACATCTTAAGGTATTCATTTTATGCTTTCCTTCTAATATTTACACTAGATCAAATTAAGATAGTTAAAAAAAAGATATAGGGAGAACGAAGGTGTTGTACGAGAGTTTCCTTGATAAACAAGGTTTCCTGTAGTTCCCAGCCTAGTCTGAGCGGTTCACATTTAGTTCCGTTTAGGCCGTGGGGGTGTGGGTAGAAAATTTCTGTTTAGGTATCAGTACCATGTTCTTGAGTAGTGTATATGCTGTCGGCGAGACGCAACACGCTACTCGTACAGTGAATATGAATTTCGTACGCTGTAGAGAAATAAGAGACAGGAATTAAAGCTGGTAAATAATACTGAAAACCTGTTGAAGGATTGACAACCTGTGATGAAAATTGTGATTATTGGTATAATGCTCGCCACAAACCCACGTTGCTAAACATGACGAGGACCTTGATATCATGAGAGAAATAGTGGTGAATGTTGCGTATGTCATATGTACACCCCGAGGAGAGGAGGTGACGAGAGTAGCAATGGCGGAGTGCATATAGTAGACGCATCAGCGATGTGTTGCACCCCTTTGGTTCAAGTGTACAGGGGACAGCTGGCACTGTGCCACTATGTTGTGGACACCTGAAGATGAGAAACGTATGTGGGTTAACTGGTGGTGAGAGGCTGGTACTTTGGGGGGGGGCGAAGAGGGGGGATTATTTCGTTACTGTATCTGCATACCATCGAGGGAAGTTCCTTGATTTCGGTAAGGGGCTCTGGATTCAAGGAGTTGAACCTGACCTCTTTTCTTTGATCAAGCCTGATTGCTTCCCATTCCCCTAAGCGTTGTATGACCCATACTGGTTTAGCGCTTCCCTATGAATGTAGTATCTATAAAAGTTGATTGTGTGCATTACTTACTAATTATCAGAGGCACTTACCGATAGATA